AACATCACTGTTGATTGTTATAACAAGTCGGCCTGTGAACCGAGATTTCTCTTTCAAGGCAGCGGGTATGTGGAATCGTCAAACGCGAGATACAGACATTTGGTGTCTGTGAAGAAGGTACGGTTGGCTGAGGTTCCACTGAAAATGCGGCGTGTAACGGTAGCGAGATGGAAAGTACGTGAACAGGAATCGAAAAGCGATTACAAGGGCATGGAAAAGATGTTGTGTGGATCACAACTGCCTATAACCTCTGGAAAGCTACGAAGATTTGTGATGACGTACACAAAGTACTCGCAGCGAAAGTTCTATCACAAGTGCGTGAAAAGTGCTGCAAACTACATCGTGACAAATGTCGAAATCGACAGTGCGGCAGAAAGCGTGATCGCGGTATTACAGCCGCCGATTTTGAGGACCGCACGGCGAGTGATTCGGGCTGCTGCAAGACAACGACATGCAAATAGGGGCGAAAGTGCACCTCATGAGGTAGTTCCCATATTATCGGAGATACGGCGTACTGCAGATACGACAACACCCGAGGTGCAGAGTGAGACAATCTCTCCGGTTGGTACCGCTCAGCCTAACCCCAGCTCTTCTCAAATTCAAATTACCCGATTTACTGTGCAATGGAATAATGTTAGTAGCGAACGAAGAATCGTTCACTATGCATCACGTCGGGGCAGAGGGAGAGGCAAGGCAGCCGGCAGTAGATCATGTCGGAGAAACGCAAATGACGCAAGGGGTTCCGTACAATCGAATAGAGCACGCTCATCCCAAAACTTTGTTCCATTTACGTCTGACTCAGTCATAGGGCGTCCATCTGCGAGTTCAAGAGACCACATATCGCCAAGAAGAGACGATTTACCCCCAACATACGCACATCCTACAATGCATATTCTCTCAAATGCAGTCCGACACAACCCCAATCTCACATCATTACGAGAACGGGAGAGTTCGATAGGAATATTGGAACGTAGCGGTGGAAGGGAAGGTGAAGACGAAGAGGAATTGGGGGGCGAGGAGGAATCAGGACGGAGGCCGGAGGAGGGATTCAATCAAAGCCCCGACGAGGAAATTGCGAGCTACGTCGTTACAGTGGCAAATTTGGGGGGCTCCCAGAGGTATTGCTGCAGCTGCAGATGGTCGAGATCGACAAGAATACCATGTCCCCATCTACTGCGAGTAGCTATCGTGTTTGCAGAGAAAGCGAATGTGGAGCGACGTTTGAATTCAGTGGTGGGGCGTAGAATCGAGTGGGAGTATATGTTCCACCCCTGCTGGAGCCGTAGCGAAGAAGATTGGAGTGACGTACAGATAGCTGTTCAGCGGGAAAGAATGAGAGAGGCTTTGAGGAGAGCCCGTGGTTTGAATAATGATGTGGGGGCTGTCCTGGAGGGAGTCTTGCAGGATGCGATGAGAAGGAATGGAAGCGCATCAACTCCAGTTGGTGCAAGTCAGTCTATGCGTGAAAATGCAGACGCCGAGGATGAAATTCAATTATCGCCTGACCAGATGTGGAGAGAAGATAGGAGACAGGAGTAGCAGCACATTTCCTGGGCGAACGGGAAAAGTTTATTCGATCAGATGCACAAACTAGCTTTTCAACTCGGGACGGACGTGCTACAAAAGATGATGGATTATCTCGAACATGGCTTGCGGAACTTGAGCGATGGCCGCGCACCTCTAGCAGCATTGTCGGGTCGTATAACCCTCGCTGCAGACTCGTACGAAATACAGGCTGATGGTTTTGTTGGGAACCCCAACAATGGTAACCCGTCGGGACGCGGATCCAAAAAAAGAAAACGAGGGGCACTGGAGCAACCATCGCACAGGAGAAGAACGCCGTAGGGGGAGCATATCGACAAAGAAACCCAAACCTGCTGACAAACCTCAGCAAGACCTTCCTACCCGTGTCAACCACTCTACGCCATTCATTTTCCCTTCATAATACGGCTTTCTTCGAGAGTACTGTAGTACGTACAGTGGACTTACAACGTCGTGAGACAAGGGCTCATCACTTTTTGTAAAGGTAAACAGTATCCACGTCGTCAGGCGGAGCGGACAGGACGGTGGCTTCCTTGGCGGCGTGCATGCCGCCAACATGTTTTCTAGGGCATGGAGAAGGACATCGAGGTCGGAACCTGCGAAGCGTAGACGGGCGATGCCGGATGCAGATCGAGATGGACGTGGTCAACTGTGGGGACAGTTTGCAATGCACGTTTGACGGAGGCCACGCAGCGCATGCAGATCATGCGGTGGATTTGCAGGGCGACTTGAGTCATGGCGGAGCTTCGTTGGAAGGATGGGATGTTGATATCAGAGAGAGAGAGGAAGAGGAAGCGATTCTCGGTGGGGCGCGCAGGCGAGCATGATGAGGATGAGGGGCGTGTGTGTGCGAAATTTGGTGCAGACATCACTTCGAAGGGTGGTGCAGGCATTACTGCGAAGGGTGGTGCAGGCGTCACGTTGAAGCAAGGGGGAAAATACTGTAGATAGATGCCACTGGGCGCTTTCGTTTGACTGAGTTATTGTTAGTGTTAAGCACAGTACAGTGCAATGCAGTATGTATTGCGGGCTTATCGATACGATGATACTGTACTAGCAGAGGCTGCATGAACATGACCTGACAGCTTCAGGTGCTACTGTATCTACAGCATGCGCCGCGTGAAAAGAGAGCTCGGCGATGGCGAAGGCGAGGTCGAGGAGAGAAGACGCACGGTACATTCGCGGGAAAGAAAAGGGCACGGCGGGTCATCTGTGTATTGTGCAGTACTGTATTGTCTTGTAGCAGCGTCGAAAATGCCCTACAGCGGCGGTGGGTGCTTTTGCACGTGTTCCTCCGCTTGGCTGATGATGAGCGAGCGCGTGAGTGAGTGTGGACGATGTTTTGCTAGTGTAGTTTAGGAACAGGACGGCATCGCCCATCTCCGCGTTCCAGATTTGAACCGTCCCATCATCTCCTCCAGAAGCGACACGATTGCCGTCCCGAGACCACGCAACACAGTTAACTGAACCCAGCCCTCCAGCGCGTCGCCAACGGCATCGCCTGTCTCCGCGTTCCAGATTCGGACCGTCCCGTCAAGCCCTCCAGAGGCGATACGACTGCCGTCCCGAGACCACGCGACAGAGCAAACCCGGTTCCTGTGTCCCTCCAGCGCGTCGAGAGTGTGCGGTGGATGTGGGTTGAAGGTGGTTTCTGGGTTGTTTTTGGATACAGTATGCGGATGTGTGAGAGGGGCTGGTATACTCTGTAGTGGGTTTGGAGGATGGTTTCGTTTCGTTTCGGTGGGTGTTTGTGTTGACGAAGGCAGGTTGATGATGATCAAAATAATCCTCCCATGAATCTCAACATTTACCAAGGCAACATCTCTCGCAGTCTGTGCGCGACGGCAAAAAATGTTGCAGGCCCGCAGCCGGGGCGCCGTCGCGGGCAACGGCGGAGGAGACGTAGAGCAACGACAGGACTTTAATTCCTCCGTTCTGAAGCCCGACATGTTGCTCTGTATCCTCATCGTGTGTGTAGCGTTCCTGCTGGGAAAGCACTGGGTTCTATGGACTGCTGTCAGTGGAGCAAGACTGTACAGTCACCCTGGAAACGTAAATGGAAACAAGTGGGACATGGATGAAAGGGTCGAGGAGCGCAATGTTCTCTCATCAAGTGGAGGACAAGTACCAAGGGATGTCGCAGTCCATGCTACATCACCTCTTGCCGTTGACACCAAGCCTCGCGATCCTTACGGTGGAAGAAATCGATCTATATCGTCGACCGTTTTGTCAACATTAGCTTCACCTGTGCGCGACGGAAAAAAATGTTGCAGGCCCGCAGCCGGGGCGCCGCCTCGGGCGACGGCGGAGGAGACGTAGAGCAACGGTAGCGGTCTCTTCGGCTGCTGCAGGTGGTCAGTCGGGACGGCGTACAGGCCGAGGCCGAGCGGGCTTGGCAAGATGGCTGCAATGTGGTAGGTTGCGCAGACGACGTCGCGGAACGACTGGATATGGGCGCTGAGGACGATGTCGCGCGGCTCCTGCTGGTTCCCCGACATCGGGGACGAGGAAGAGCAGTGGACGTGGGCGGACGGGCGGGCGCATGCGTTACGAGGGGCGCACGGTCAAGACTGGGGGCGACGGCAAGAAGGGAGACGGGCATTATGCGGCCATCGAGAAGGATGCGGCGAAGAGTGTGTCTGGTGCCGCAGGGATCCGGGCTGTGGCGAAAGCAGCAGGTGGGGATGGTCGGATGGCGAAAGAGGCAGGTGGGGATGGTCGGATGGCGAAAGAGGCAGGTGGAGATGGTCGGAACAGTTGCTTTTGGAGACAACGGCGGCGGCCGGGAAGGCGGCGAATGGTTCATAGGTCTGTTTGCGAGTGTGTGCTCGAGTTGGGGAGTATACTGGGCCAAACATTACATTAATGATGTAAGCATGTGGGACCAATCGTTTTAATTGGTCGAGATGTAGATGTGGGACGAAACGATTTGATTGGTCTGTAGATGTGGGGCCAGTCATTCACAGCCATCCACTATCATACATGATCTACCACTTGTAGAATGTGACTGACCCGTAAATTTGGACACCATTTCATAAGCTTACATGCCTCGGCATTAACATCGTGCGAAACATGGGGATAGTAGTTGTGAATATACAGGAAGACTTCGAATCTGTTATATCCAGTTGACGTTTGAAACATGCGTTCAGGTTTTGAAGATATTGACACAAAGCGTTTTAAGATTGCTCGAGAAGCCTCTTTTTCAGGCATCCGGGAAACGAATGGAAAGGAAATGCAAATCTCTTCAAACTCCATTCTTCTGCAACGCAGAAGTCAATTACGGCAGTGAAAGTATCTCTTTTCTTGTTACTGAGCTGGCAAAAGTCGAGAAAAATAAGTTGAAAAGTGGCCTCATATGAAGTCACTTGTCGTCATGACAGTCTAGCTGGAGGTTGAAAACGACCATCATATCATAAGCACTTGATGTCTGTAAGTTCACAGTCTCTCATCATCGGATGTCAACATTTACTTGAGTTTTGGACGTGGTGAAAAGTGATGCCGCAAGGCTTGTTCGAATTCCACAAGATGTTCTTTGAGCAATTCTTCATACATGGAAGGCAAAAAACAGTTGTGTCACGAGAATAACTGCAGTCCTCAGACATCCAGAACTAGGCACCAGATGTATTATGAGTGGTCAAGGGAACCAGCTGCATCATGAGGTATGTAGTCGAGGAATGCTTTTTTTGTGGCCTTCTCTTTACAAATAACAAGTTTGTGATACTGCTTTATCACATTTCGGTGTTTAGTATCACTCTTTCTCCACTAAGCAAGGAATGAAGCGCTATTCCGAAGGTCTCTGGATTGTTTTTGGTTGGTAGATGATTTCTTGTCTCGCGGCGATGCCAACTGTGCGGTGGTCGATGCGTTATGAAGATTTCTGGATGAGCGGTGAGAAAGTAGGGAGTAGTCGGGGCGTGTCATACGCAGTCGAGACCTCGACTTGTACAGTACAAGGGAACACATGAAAACGTGTGAAGTGGCAGAGAAGCGTGGCTGGAGAAGCGATTGCTGAAGCGTCCTTGCTGGATGGCGCAGATACAGAAAATTACTCTGTAAGCATGGGGAACGGATGGCTTGTTTGAGGGCCAATGAGAAAAAACTTTGTCACACTGATCAACGGCGCAGCGTTTGAAATTTTGAACATTCAAGCAACGCCAAACGCGATTCACATTTCCACCCTCGAGATAAGCTCCAGCTTCATATCCCCCTACCCTTTTCGCTCAACCACGACTTTTGTTTTTCCACTACCACGTTCCTCCTTGCAAGCACAACGAAAAACCTCTTCCCGCATTGTACCCAGCGAACAAGAATCATCAGACTCACCGCTGCTCTAACCTGAACGTCATGCCGCGCGGCGGCGTCTCCCCTCCGTCATCCAACGAATCCCCTCTTCCGCCCTTTGTCTTGGCCACTCTCCGCGACCCCGAAGCTGAATGGGAGGACCAGAGAGACGCTCTAAAGGCCCTCACCGCAGCGGCAAAGTCGGACGCCGTGGCGCGACCGAATAGTCAGGCTCGTCATGAGTTTCTTCGTCAGCTACGGGACGTGGGACAACCGCTTGCGACGTGCATTGCGGCTCCGCGAAGCACCCTCGTGAGGGAAGCAAGTCAGTGCATCATCCAATGTGTTGAGGTATTCGGGCCACTGTTCGTCGATACTGTCGGGAATACTTTGGCACGTCCCATTTTGGATAAAACAGGTGTGTCGATAGCTGTTATTAGGGAAAGCGCGTTCGAAGCGGGAAAGGCCCTTTTTGAACACGGCGTGACGGGGTTTTCTCCTGATATTGTCAATATGCTTTGCGAGTACGTGCAAAACTCCAAGTTGTCCTCTCTGAAACGAGCCGCCGCCGCTCAGTTCCTCGGTATGGTACTGGTTGAGGATTGTCTGGCGGGACTTGAGCCGATCATGGGTAGTATTCAGAGGGCTATTGTCCGGGGATGTCAAGACTCTGATGAACGTGTGCGCGCTCTTTCGCGAGAGAACTGGCGCAAGTTAGAGATCCTTGACAGGTCAAGTGCGCGTCAACTCCTCAATGAAATGCCTGCCAATACTACAGCACTTATCGCACGCGAGAAGGGTGGTTCCCCATGGAGCGAGAAGAGCGCTGGAGGTCGCTTTGAGCAAAGAAAGTCTCCTGGAAGCCCGGGCCGTACTTTCAAGTTTGCTCCTCAAAGATATCCGCCCACCGCGAAGCGTCTTCACCCGCAGAGAGTTACGAGCGAAAGCGTAGTCGAGTCAGCAGACATATCTCCTTCAACTGCTATTCGACGTGCAGTCACATCGCACACAACGACAACCTCAAGCTTGCCGACATCGAGGGTCGGAAGGACGCAAAGAACAGCTGTAAGACTCCCACGACCCCAAGTACGTGCAGTGGATTCAGGAAGCAATCGTCCGGGGCTCCCTCCACGACCTATTTCGATTCCAAAGGTTAGGGATGGCATGCCTCAGGCAGGATCAGTTTTGAACCGACAGTTTGGTCGCCCTGTGTCAAGGCCTATCCGTCGTCCTGCACGCCGATCAATGGCTATGAATCCCAAGAATACTCTTCAAGGGAGTCCTCCAGGGGGAGTCACAGACCATCGCGAAAAGGTGCGACAAAGTGTACCAGCCGCGCTTGCTAGGGCTATTATTATTGAAGAACAAGCTAGTAGTATTGCATCACCCGGCTCATCCAGTTCTGCGCAATCCGAAGCTAAGAAAGATGGGCAAGATACTGAGTTCTTCACGCCCTCCCCCATTTCTAGAGCTGATATCAAAGCCGGCCGACTACCTGTAAGCCCGCAACTAGAAGAATCCACGCACTCTGGAGCTGAAAAGCCGCACTCTACCCCCCGACTGCAGACTCAGGGTATCCCGCGCACTCTTTCAGGGGATAGCTTTGTTACTGCCCACGAAGAACGCAAGTCTCTCTCTTTTCGTGAGACTGCAATGGAAATCGCGTCACGGATGTATCGGTCTCTACAGGGCTCTTCAGAATCTACGGATGAAGCCCGAACTCTGTCACCGAAACGTGACCCAATGGAAGTGGATACTGAGCAGCCTTCCTCTCAAGGTGAGGAGAGCGACTTTGTGTCGCTTTCTAGTGTTGGTAGTGGTGACCGTGGAATCCAAGAACCATCGCCCAAGGCAGTCAACTCTCCGGCAAACCCTCGCAAGGCACGCCTTTCCTTCATCCTTAACATGAACGCAAGCCCACCACAGTTTACCGTACCACAACCACAAGTCGTCACCGCATCTGTGACGCAGGGTTTCGTGGGGAGTAAGATGGAGGCAGTGAATGTGCCGTGGAACGACCCTACAAATGCAAAGCAGCAACCTACAGCACCTCTGCAACCAAGCGCAGATGTATCAGCAACCTCAAAATACCCAAACGACCATATCGAATCTATGAGCGACGAAATCGAGCTTCTGATGAGCATGCAATCCCTCACGGAGGAGGTCGAAAAACCAGCCTCATTCCGTACCTTAATTCCGACAACAACACCAGTGGTTGCGAAATCACCCGAGCCCGTTTCTACTTCGATATGCACGACGGAAGGAGAGTCGTCTCGGGAAGGTGAGTCCTCGGTGGGAAACGTCACAGTAGAAGATGTAATTGTGTACTCCAGCCCAGACAAGCCGAAAGAAGCGGGCAACGGCCCGGAGGGCAACTTGGTCCTGACGGGTAAAATTGCCAACGAGAAGGAGAATGCGCGTCCTGCCAGTGCCATCTCTGACGCGACTGCTGTCTTAAAAAAGGACCCAGACCAGGATGCAGAGAAGGACCCTAAACAAATCAGCAAGCTCGAAACAGAAGAGGTTAACAAGGCCCCCAAGATGGAAGAACGAAAGCCGTTGAGACCAGCAAAAGAGATGGCTTCGATCGCACCCAGCAATGCACCACGCCCCAAGAGCATGCCTTCCCCAACCCAACCGGCCGAGCCCTCGAAGGGAGAGGGCGTCCCCGCCAAGCGGCCTCACAACGCGACAGCCCTCCCGCCGCGCTGGAAGACGAACAAGGCGTCGATAGCCAGGACGACTGCTCGGCGTTCTATGATGTTCGACGTTGCAATCCGGTCGCAGGACTCGGACCCACCAAAGAAAAGAGAGGCCAGAAAGGGAGACGTAACACGACGGCTGCCGCAGAGGGTACCTTACAGCTCTGGCGGCGTGGCTAAAAAAGTGGGACGGCCGCCTTACATGGCGCCTGCGCTGATGTCTGGCAAGCCGCGACCGCCAATGCCAGGGGCGCGGCGCTCGCTAATGCCAGGGATAAAAATGCAACCTCCCCCGAGTGCGCCACACGCGCCAAGGGTGCGGCGCTCGCTGATGCCAGGGGCGAAGATCCAACCTGCTCCGGGCGCGTCAGACGCGAAAGCAACGTCTCGTCCGCCTTCTGTGTGCAAAGCGCGGCCCGCGTCCACCAGGCCACCGCCACAGAACGGGAAGAAAGTTGAAAAATCCAAGTCTGCGACAATGAAGAAGACTGGGGCAGCGAACAACAACAAGGGGATGTCGGGGGCTTCGCGCCGAGTGGCAGAGTGGTTGAAGCAAGCCAAGCGGATCAAGAACGGGGCATGGGAGGAGCGTTGCAAGGCGCTGAAGGGCTTCGGAGAGGCGTGCCAGAAGCTGGACGGGGAGCGGATCAGTATGGGGCTGGCGGACGAGTGCATCGGTGTGCTGGGCGAGTACATCCGTCAGGGGCACCACCGGGTGATCAGCGAGGCGCTAGACGGGCTGTTCTTCCTGCTGCTGTGCAGCGAGGGGAGCTCGCACATGCTGCAGCGGGCGCTGGAGAAGCGCGAGGACGTGATGCGACGGACGCTGGGGCTGCTGATCACGGGGAGCGAGAGCGCGCGGCTGGCGGCCGGGCGGGTGATGCATAGCTTCGAGGTGCAGTTCTCGCCCGAGGTGATGGTGGGGCTGATCATGCGGGCGATGAATCAGGGAGGCGGGGGCGGGGTGGCGGACGTGCGGGTGGCGAAGATGGGGTGCGTGCAGCTTGGAAAGGCATTTGAACGGGCGGCGATTTCTGGGGAGGGGTTCGTGTGGAAGACGGGGCTGCTGGAATCGGTGCTCAAGACTCTAGAGGGGTTGTGCGGACATCGACGTGTCGGGGTGAGAAGGGCCGGGGATGGGGTGGTGGAACAGGTGCGGGAGAGCTTGCCTGAACGGGCGTTTGAGCTGGCGTGCGAGAAGTATGGGGTGAAGTTTGGGGAAGGGAAGTAGAATAGTTTTGTGAAAGAGAAAAACAATAAGAGTAAAACAAGAGACTTGGAGAGTGTGAGCGGTGTTTTATTGGGGGCTGCGCAGGGGGTGGGGGAGTGTAAGAGAAAGGGCGGAATGCGGAATGCGGAATGCGGAATGCGGAATGGAAATAGATGGAGATA